TAGTTCCAGCTAAGTTGGGAACCATAGTTCAAATTTTAAGTACAAACACGGTGTAATTTTAGTGTAATTATGTTTTGTGATGCGCATTTGATCATATACTATAACATGTTAATTTGCGCAATATAAATATTAATTATTATTATTACACCAGACATTTGTCGGTTGTCAGACAGTACTTATTTTGAGATCAGTGGAGTAAATCGAACGTTAGGCGAGTGTCGTACGAAGACGAGCCGAGTATAAAACACGTGAAAAGCTTGTTTTTCAACGTGTTGGTGTCATGGTGTGATATGAAATTTGTACTGAGAGAATAGCACAAAAAAAGCACAGATAAAATAAAGAAGGAAGAGAAATTAAGCAAAAGATAATATTACAAATAATAATGGATACTACCACGGAAGATATGAACGAATCGACGACGGTTGAGGGCGACAAACCTTCATACAGCGAGCTTGTAAAAATGGTCAACGAAGTTGCTAAGCCTTTGGCTGGAAAAAAATTAACCAAGGCGTTATATAAAACGACTAAAAAAGGTACGTTGTGTAGAATTCACTTTACTCTATGCCTTATGTTTTACTTGGATCTATGTCTTATGTTTTACCTTTATGGTATTATTGGTATAAAAACTGAAAAACATGCCTTGTGTTTTGGTTTTGCTAGTATAAATATCAGAAACTAATTTTCCCCCCTCCCCCTCTGGACAGCAGAAATTTTCTCGGGGGGGGAGTGCAGATCTTTTCTGGACGACTTAATCGTCAATAATGTGCAACAAGTCAGGCTGCATTCTTTGTCGTGTGTGGAACATATTCCGCACACTCCCCCAGCGTACATTTTCAATGATGATTTTATACATTCCGCTCTGAGCAGAGGCAGTGGAAGCATTTCGAAAGTGGAGGGCATCGGCCAAAAGGAGCACTTTTGTACATGACCAAAATCAAACTATTTTATGTCGTTCACGAGCCGAATGAAAATTTTTGAAAATATGGAGTCTTTTACAGAGTCTTTACTACTGCAAAAAGGGCACTTAATTTTCAGCAAAGGAGGGCGTTCATTCAAGAAACACTTTTTTTATTCTTTAAATGGGACACTTCAGCCCAGAAAAAAGGGCACTTTTTCACTTTAAAAAAAGTGGGAGGGGGGGGCACATGCCCCCATGCCCCCTCCGGTTCCGAGGCCCCTGAGTCTAAGCAACCAATACAAATTGTATTTTATTAGGCACAGTGCAAGGCAACAAATACAAGTTGTATGGGCACAATAGTTATTGAAGTGGTCGTTGTTGGACAAAAATTCTCGATTGTACTATACGCTGCAGTCTGGATTAAAGGATTCTGATTCTTGGACATCACCCACAAAAATTCACAAAATTGCTCAACTTCTGCGAAATAGCAGTTCTCTGAAAAACCAATCAGATCTCTTTTAGTCGTCTAACCCAGAGCCTAATTTTCAACGAGTGACTGAGTGAAAATGGCTCAGGACGAGAATGAGTCCTGCCTTGCCAAGTAATAGTGAACAGCTAGCCTGGATTGCAAGATACTTTCAATGCATTTTGACAAGTTCCCATTCTGGAGATTGTTTTCAAAATTCTGTGGTGCCAAGTCCTCTCCCCTTGACATGTAAAATTGTTTGGTGTTAGACAGAGCAAAGTAGTAAAGTAGGGTGCAATGCAACTTATTAATAGGTTAATGTACTTTTAGTACGCAGGGTCTGAAATTTGATTTTTTTTTAAGTATCCACATGGATACCAAGGTTTTAAAATTTGGTATCCCTCCCGATAATCTAGTATCCCAAATCGGGATACTTAACTAGTTGGCTTTTCGTATCCCAGGGCCAGACACAACATCACTTTAATGCTTACTCTTAGTTAAGCATTTCCATCCATCGCATTTTATGTTTAATATACTAGAATCCTAAAAGGAACTTCACTGATATTTAATATCAACTTCACTGATATTTAATGGTAACGTTACAGTATGCACTCAAATCTAAATTTAAAATCCATCAAAATCACTTTCATCTGAATCGGTGTTGAATAACTCAAGCATGTCATTGTTGCTAATTTGATCTTTATCTGAGACACTCGTAGTCTCAGTGTGAGAATCTGAATCACAATCTGAATCACTAGAATCAGATGCATCAGCATCATCACTGACAGAGAGATCTTCATCTGGTCCAGCAACCAGGGGTTCTTGTGACTTTTTGTGTGTTCTCCACCTCTTTTGGTTGGGACGTCGGCCTCTAATAGAACGTTTGTTCCATACATGTATTGCTGGATCTTGGTTGAACAACTTGATATCTGCACACTCTAACGTGATTCGAATCAGGTCAGTGACAGCACTATCAGACAGCTTGTTTCTCCAGTCTGTTTTGATCGTCTTCAGAAGGGAAAAGCCA